TCACACAGCAATGGCAAAGTCCATTGAACAGAAACTAACTCATTCATACACATTCACACACTGATGCTATGCATCGAGAGCAATTTGGGGTTCAGTATCTTGCTCAAACTTCGACACATGGCAGGAGGAGGATCGAACCAACAACCTTCTGATTGGGGGGTGACCCGCTCTGCCTCTGAGCCACAGCTGCCCTGTGTATGTTCTGGCATTCCCAGAAAACATGACAGTTGTTCCTCCGACACTGAGGTAACATTATCATAGTGTGCCTTCCCAAGGGGAGTGATAAAAATATATTTTTTCCCAAGCATACCTTCTATGCCATTCTTCGTCTGTCTTGTCTGTCCTGATTGTGGAAGCTTTTATTCAGTTGAGAGATGAATCCTTTTAATGTCTGACTTATATTTATAAAAACTTAGATAAAGGATTTTTCCTTTTGATTGAATTGAATGTGGACTGAATCTCAACCAAAGCTCTTTAATAGCTTTAATCTGTTACTGTGACTGATGCTGATGCTGATGCTAGTAGAGGAGTTCTGTCACACGAAAAAAAGACGAAAGGTTTTGGGTCAGATTCTGACAGTTCAGTTCCCTAAACCTTCAGAGAGAGGAGCAACAGCGACAATTACTACTACTAGCTACTGAGATACTACCACCACAGTGTTAGTTCATTCTTGAATTTGGCAACAGAAATTGGCAAGAATGAAAAGTTTCAACTCAAGGTCCACTTACAGCAGATAAAGGCTGTAAAATGCGTCTAAAAACTCACTGGATATATTTAGGACAACTGTACCATTACTACAGATACTGCCACCACTGCCACTGTACTTCTGTACACTACAGTAAATTATTACAGAAATACTAAATCTACTGCAACTACTGCTGACAGCACAATGGCACAATACTTTCTTTTACTGAAAATCTTTTCCTCATTTGTTTGAAATGTTTCTACTTTTTAAGTTTTTTTTGTGAATTTCTAATTTCTAGAAGCACATAGAGGAAAAGTTTTTTATTCTTATATTTGTGACGATCATGATTCCTGATTTTATTACTATTATTATAATTAGAGGGCAAGTCATTGCATATATTAAAAAGGTTAAAGATGCTGCTACCTAGAACAATAATGTCTAATAAGTATAATTTAAGTCATCAACTCCTTCCACCTCATTATAAATCAATCTATTAAATATGCAAATGTTTTCCTGCTGGACACAAGATGTCTCCTCCTTCCCTGTAAAGTCCACTCTCAGTGTCTGTGCACTGGTGCTTCACACTGTACAAGTTTCATACTGGACCAGGACTGACTTCCTGAACTATTTGTGATGTCTTCTAGAGTCAGACTCTACACAGACATCATTCAAACATCACACTGTAGGAACGAGAACAAACACTGAGTTCTGACTGGTGGCGCTGGAGGGAAGGTTAGAACGTCACCAGAAAGATGAGGATTCATCCTCTGGGGACCTTGAACATGAGTAACGTCCTGTGTATATGTGCGGATGTGCGGTATGAAGTGTATTTACATTGTCTCCATTGGCACGGAGCTTCCAGAACGGCTGGATGAAGAGCCACGAGCCTTCATTTCCCGTCCCGTCCAGGGTGACCCGCATGGCGTTCTTCTCCAGCAGAGCCGGCAGACGCTTGTTCACCGTCAGGTATTTATTACTCTTCATATGGAGCAACTGGAGGCAGAGAGAGTGGGAATTTATTTCACTGTAGATTCACATAAAGTCCGTGTTTCTCTTCATGTTCAGAATCAAACCAACAGTGAATGTATCCACTAACAAGTACTGTGTGATAAACACTGTCCTGCTGCCCCAAACACCAGATTTAGATGAATCCGCTGGTGAAAATAGTCCCAAATAAATG